ATGGACATTTATGTGATGCACAAGTGTGTCTCTCTCTCTCTCTCTCTCCCTCTCTGTCTCTGCCCCTGGGTCTACGCGATTGCCGTAGCACACTAACAAGGAAAGCACCTGGCTTCCACACGCTGCAACCACAAAGCTTTGTGTCACCATACGTGGGTTTATCAGGAGCTTGGGATGAGCCAACAAATCTCATGAGCCGATACAGCCCGAGCATCCACAACCCTGAAACGAACCGCTATAAACCCAAAATCTACAGCCTAAACAGTCTAAGCACTAAAACTTCAACTCTAGACGCCTTGAGCCCGACATCCTAAACTCGTAAAGCTCAAAACCCCAAAACCTAAACTCCAAAATCTGATCGTCACTGTCGCATCACAGCTTCGAGGTTAGACACTTTCGGCTTTACGTGGAGGGTCATTGGACTTGGGAAGGTTCCTTCAAAGGGCCTTTAAAGGGGATCTATGATGGCACAAAACAGGAGTTTTAAAAATATGGTTTACCTTATTTCATATCCCGGGGTGCCAAGTCCCTGCAGGACATTCCCATGGGACACTTCGTGCTCTTTGCGATCGGCAAGGCCGCGAGAAGTGCAGTGCCTTACTGGTGCTCCCTAGTCCGTATAAAATCCCCTGGAGTCTTCCTTATAATGCAGGGGCCGTAATAATCAGAATAGGGTTTTGGGAGTTCCTTATTAAAATTATAGTATATTATACCCAAATACCCCAAACCCTATTCTAATTTTTAAGGCCACTTATTCTGATATTCCTTCCGCCAGTCTTCCTCACGCACCAGTGGGGTGCTTGGGGGTTCTCGAAGCCCAAGAACTTACGTGCACCGAGCCCTGAACTCAGAACTGAAAGCTCATACAAGGCTGCACAGGGCTATAAGGGCTCGGTATGTTTCTATACTAGTTCTTGTATGGAAATTTCGATGTCAGAGGGCTGTGATTGAAGCCGTTGAAAGAATCAGCCCTAAAATCTTCAAGCCCCACCCAAGCCCCAGCCGTTTTGTTTTCTTTGGGATCTGACTTGAGGTTGTCAGGCTGGGCAGCTTGATGATATAATATACTACGACTGTATCATACCATACTAGAACATATTCAACGATAGTATCATATAATAGAACAGGATAGAACATAGTTCCATATTGATTCCTAAAGATACACTGGTAATCAGTAATCATGTGCAGCGATTCCAGCGTTTCCTTCGATCTTTCGGCTCTTCTCTGTGAAGCCTTTACCAACTTGGGTGCATCTCGGGCTTGCAACTGGCGGAGCTCACACCCCCCTAAACCCTAAACCCTAAACCCGAAGCCTTAAACTCTAAACCTAAACTCTAGAAACCCTAAACCTCAAGCTCTACTTCTTATTCCCCACACTCGACAGGCCCGAATCAAGGGTTTAAGGCTAGGTTCTTGCTAAGAAAACTTTTTCATAAGTTATCATAGTAAGGAAATCACGGTTTTTTGCTATGGATCCCCGGTACGGTAAGAGCCTAGATCGAGTGCAGTACTTCGCGCGGTGCTTGGCGGCCATGCTACGCATCACGTGGCTCTCGGGTGAAGAACTGACAAGCATTCCCTGCAGGGAAGTGAGCGATGTGAAGGCTTTGAAGTGGCGACTGCATCAGCTCCATGGCCTACCACGACGCTTCTGGCAACGAGTTTTTCGTGAGGGCAACATCTTGGATGATGCAGTGACTGGGTCCTTGTTGGCTACAACTTTACATTTTTGTTCTACTCAAACCCAATAAGGATTCAACATGGTTATTTTTAATCTAGCCCCAAGAGGGAGCCAGGTCAAGTTGGACTCCGCGATGGATCTCCAGGTTTTGACAATGCCGCCGCAGTTCTCAGATGCTACCGATGTGCAGCTGGAGCCTTGGCCGCTCTTGGGACTACATACCTCTAGTCTCCTTTGTAGTTCCTTTTTAGGGTACCATATGGGATCCCAAAATATAAAGCTGGTGGGAACGACAATGGAGACTGTAGGTAGTTGAAGCTTCAGTCAGTATCGCGTCAGCATGGTTCCTAATCGGAAAACAAGCACGTGCTTTGTTAAGGGCCTCCCAGCCCACAGCCCTACACCTCAAAACCCTAAACCCTAAACCCTAAACCCTAAGTCCTAACCTGTACAGCCTAAACCCAAGGCCCCAAACCCTCAGTCTCAGGAAAGGCTCTATGCAGCGGCCAAGGACGGCCTCGTGGAAGAGGCCGGGCATTTCGCTGGTGAACTTCAGAGCTGCTCGCGACTGTAGAAAGCATGGGCCTTCTTAAGTTATTAAGAGGGTGTTTAGGATTTTAGTGTTTAGCCTAAATACTAAAATCCTAAAAACCCAAAGCCCTAATTCCTAACCCCAAAACCCTGAGGCTCTTAAGAAGGCCTATGCTTTTTGCAGTCTGGCATCTCACCGTGAGATTCCGAGAATCTTAGGGTAATGTTGGTCCTCGCATGGTTCAGGGCAGCGGCTTCTTTAACAGTTGCAATGATTCCCTAACCCTCCAGGTGCCGACTTTTGTAGGGCCCTAGGGGCTCTAGTACCCTATATAGTAGGTACCTAGGGGGGTTAGGGATTACTCTAGGTTTGGGGTTGTGGGGTTTGGGAGGTAAGGGGTAGGGGTTAGGAGGTTGTTCAGCTTAAGGTTTAGTGGTTTAGGGTCTAGGGTTTAGGATGTCAGGCTTAGGGTTTAGGATTTAGGGCGGTTTAGG